CATCCTCCCCCCAGCTGATGGTGTTCGATCCGTGTCTGCATTTCCTCCATCAGTCTCGTGTTTCTGCAGTGAGCTGTCAGCGCCTCATCTGGGCTGTGATAGTGCAGAGCTGGGCGGCTGCCAGGCTGCTGTTCTGAGGGAACTGATTCCCACTCTGTGACGGGACGCAGGCAGAACCCAGGAAGCTGGTTCTGCAGGTTCTAACGGGCCTGAACAGAACCAAGATGTTGTCCACCTGCAGGAGCGTCGTTTGGTCCATGTGGCCCAGCGTCGTCTGACAGCCGGACCGGACCGGACCGTCTGACAGCCGGACCGGACCGGACCGGACCGGACCGTCCGACAGCCGGACCGGACCGTCCGACAGCCGGACCGGACCGGACCGTCCGACAGCCGGACCGGACCGGACCGTCTGACAGCCGGACCGGACCGGACCGGACCGGACCGTCTGACAGCCGGACCGGACCGGACCGGACCGTCTGACAGCCGGACCGGACCGTCTGACTTCCACATGTCACTCCAGAGGGTGGCCATGGAAACTGCTGGTGTTCCCAGCAGTTTCCATGGCCTCACTGGTTCTCACTGTGTTCTGATGCTGTGGCTCATCAGAACCAGTGAGGACGGTTCTGTCCAAGTCCAGTGGCTCATCAGAACCAGTGAGGACGGTTCTGTCCAAGTCCAGTGGCTCATCAGAACCAGTGAGGACGGTTCTGTCCAAGTCCAGTGGCTCATCAGAACCAGTGAGGACGGTTCTGTCCAAGTCCAGTGGCTCATCAGAACCAGTGAGGACGGTTCTGTCCAAGTCCAGTGGCTCATCAGAACCAGTGAGGACGGTTCTGTCCAAGTCCAGTGGCTCATCAGAACCAGTGAGGACGGTTCTGTCCAAGTCCAGTGGCTCATCAGAACCAGTGAGGACGGTTCTGTCCAAGTCCAGAAAGACAAGCCACTCTCAAATTTCACCTCATCATCAGTTCCTGTATTGGTATAATTTATTTATCAGTCTATCAAGTTAATCAATTAATTGATCAACTATCAGGTGGCAGTTTTCCCACCTGATCGTTGATCAATAAACTCGATTAGAGATCAAAGTTGTAACATTTGTTCCATTTTCAGCTGTTGCTAGGTAACGGCCCAGAGCCTGGTGATTTGCCCAGAGGTTTTTTGAAATGACTCGGTTTCTAGACACCAAAAAACCATGTGGGTGTTTTTTCTGTTTTCAGAAGCAGATGAGAGCCAAAGAACAGAAACATTTCAAACAGGAAAACCTCCGAAGACACAGAGGCAACTTCCTTCCTCACCAGATGGAAACAGATTTAAATGCTGGAGGATTCTCTTTAGCCGTTACTGAAGACCAGGAGCCATTTCTGCTGCTAGCGCTAGGCTAGGACATTAGCTTTGTTTGTATTTACCCAGAATGCCCTGTGCTGTAGTCCACTTCCTGCTTTTGGAGCGCTCTCTGGTCCGCTTGGCATTCACATTCAAACAGAACCAGACCGAGGTTTGGAGGACCAGAGGTCAGAGGTCAGAGGTCGATTAGCGTTCATACCTCACCAACCAAACCGAACTGAGGCTGCAACTACTGATTATTTCAGTTACTGATTATTGTACTGATTAGTTCAATGATCAATCAGATAAATTCTAAAGATTTTTCATGTGACTATTAACCCTTTTTATACAATGTTAGAAATACATTAAAGGTTGAAATGAAGTCATTAAATAAAGGCAATAAAAGCTTCCTGTAGTGAATCTTAACTGAAACTGAAACTTCAGAACAGATTTACAGACACTGATTATCTAAATGTAAAGTGTTTATTTTGTATTTGCTATCAACATGTTTGTTCAGTATATGGCTTCTTTCAGTCCTGCATTCTACAGATTAATTAATTACTAAACTTATTGACGATTATTTCAATATTTCACTAATAATTTCAGCCCTAAAACAAGCTGGATAAAAGTGACCCAACAGCTAAAGGTCGACCTGGGAGCACAGAAGGTGAAGGAAGCCGAAGTTCTGGTGGAACCATAGACAGATTCAGAACCGACCCAGTTCCAGGAGAGCGTCGGTGAACTCACATGCATGCAGGGAGAAGTGTTTCCTCTCTGAGGCGCTCCCATCAGCCAGAGGAGCCGGCGGCGCCGCAGAGGGACCCGGAGGCCCGGCTGCGGGCCGCCCGGCGGCTGCGGGCCCGGCGGCTGCGGGCCCGGCGGTAGCGGGCCGACCGGCGACGGGCCCGGCGGACTCTGCCGCTTCCCCCAGGAGGTGCTGGATGGAGTGGAGCTGGAAGCAGGGGTCGGACAGGAGGACGGAGGCAGCTCTGGACGTTCTGCAGAGAGGAGCAGGAAAACGTTCGACACCAACAGAAATCTCATTCCACACTGGACCTGGACAGGTCTGACATTTCTAACCAGTTGTCCAGAAAACACCAGTAAGAAGGATTCTTACACATGGACCTCATGTCTGCACTGCAAAAACTCAAACTCTTACTGAGTATTTTTGGTCTGGATTCTCATTTAAGTAAGTTACATTTGAAATAAGACCAAACTAAGAGCTAATTATCTGCTATGTGCTCTAAACGGCAATCCAAAATGGCCGCCATGTTGCCTTGTTTTTTCAAAAGTCCAATTTTGAGTTCCTAATCCATCGTAATGGATTAGATTGTTTTACTTATTTTCAATATTGAAACCATTTTCCAGATCCAACGTTAAAAATTCTTAAGAAATTAAAATGTTTTTATCTTTGAGAGGATGATCTCACATAAACATGTTGTTATTATGATATTAGAAAATGATAATATTGTAGTAATTGCAATAATTTCTGGGTGAGTTTATTGTCCGGTAAAGCCCGTCACGGTGACAGTCCTGGTTCTGATCAGAGGGTCTCGGGTTGACCAGCAGGTGCAGAGATCTGAGGAAGACTCTTCATCTCCATCTGAACCTTCCTCAGCCTCCGAGTCCCGCTGCGCTCAGCTCCGTTTGCAGCTTTGCTCTCATTAAGCCTGATTATTCAGCCGCACTTTGTTAATAAGACGCTGCGCTTTGCATGAATATTAATCTCCACTGTGGGACTCTGGGGACCTCGCAGCTCCGAGCTTCTCTGGAAACCTTCAGTTCAGCTCCTTCACAATAAAAACTGAACCTCATGTCAGGTGGAAAGGAGGCGCGTCAGTGGAAAACAGGAGCTGATGATGATAATGAGGATAAGATGATGATGATGAAGACGATAAAGATACTATGATGATGCTGCGCAGCTCTTGTTGTCTCATCTCCTCAGTCACCTTCAAATTAAAAGCCTTTCTTATAAAACCAGTAGATTTAAGAGAAATTACATTTTCTGCACCTTTAATTTCAGATTTTCTATTGGCCATCAGCTGTCATGACAGACTGACATCTACTGTCCTACTGGTGGCGCCGGAGCTGCAATCTGCCCTGCAGGTCCAGGTGTCACCGTCACATCATGTGACTGACTGCAGATTGTCTCCATCATCGCTAAATAATAAACCAGAAGGTCTGAGCGCCACAGTTCCCAGCTGGAGAAGCAAACCCAGTTACAAACAGCTCAGCATGAAGTCCGGCTGAAGGTTGGAATAGTTCTGAAAACACGGAGCAGAACCGATTGTGAATCGGTTCTGAATCCAGGAGGATGACGAGCTGCAGGTGCATCGCAGGAACTGTTTGCAGAAGATTCAGATTTCAGTCGAACAAATAAAAAGCAGAAAGACGAGCCGCTGCTGACCGCTGCAGTGGTTTCACCTGGACAACAAATTCTGGGCAGGACCCAACAAAGACTAGAATCAGAACCAGCTCTTTATGAAAACCCGGGCAGAGATCAGTCTGAAAAACCTGGAGGCGACAGAGACTGGATGAGAGGAAACTCAGGTCATAGCCAGGAAGGCAACTGGACTTCTTCTGTTGTTCCTCTGAGATGTTTATTCAAAACTAAACTAATCTGCACGTGATTGGAAGAACCAATGCACAGCGTTAGCCAGAACCATCACCATAACACGGTTCTTAGGACCACTAACAACTGCCTTTCATTCATAATAATCAAAACATTGTTCAACATTAATCAGCAATATCTGAGGTGTATTGACGATTGGCATTTGACAATTTGACTGATAGGGTTGTCGGGGTCACTGATAGGCTGTCGGGGTCACTGATAGGGCTGTCGGGGTCACTGGTAGGGTTGTCGGGGTCACTGATAGGGCTGTCGGGGTCACTGATAGGGTTGTCGGGGTCACTGATCGGGCTGTCGGGGTCACTAGTAGGGTTGTCGGGGTCACTGATAGGGTTGTCGGGGTCACTGATAGGGTTGTCGGGGTCACTGGGGCTGTTAAGGTCATGAACCTGAAACCGTCTCCTCTGATCTGCAACGTAAATGGAGCGGTGCTCCCGGAGACGATGAGCGAGTTGTTCCATCGGTTTGAGCAGCTGCTCTTTAGTTCCTCTAATCATCTGGATGTTGCTGTCGGCGCTGAGCGAAGCGGTTTCTGTGGAACCCTGAGATTCTCACACAACCAGAACTGGAAACTGAATTCACCAAGCACAAGGTCAAGTTTTTATCTGACCTGACCAACATGTTCCACTAATCAATCAATGCAGTGAGACTAACTCTCCTCATGCTAGCGTTGCTATATTTAAGCTAACAGCTGTCAGCCTGCCAGTGTTAGATTTTCAAATGTCTTCATCCACTTAAATACATTTTATTTTTGGTTGAATTGTTTTAGAATGATGGTGATAAAATTATTTTACAGGATGTATGTTAAGCAGTGATGGTGGACTTTAATAAATGCAAACGATCGTTTCCCAAATGTTTGCTCTGCTTCCCAAACTGCAGCTCTCATTCGCACGTCTCTGCAGCCAATCAGATTTGCCGTGAAATGCGCCTCACACGGCTCCTTCTGTGGCGGCATAAGCCATCAGAGAGGGTGAAAACAAAGTGAGAGCAGGAGGCAAACAGATAGCGAGCAGAGCAGGGAACGCAGAGAGGCGGAGGGGTCCGGAGGGCTGGAGCAGCGGAGGAGAGGAGGAGCTGGAAAAGCACCACAAGAGGCAGACGGCGCTCACAAATGAGCAGCAAACAGACGGAGGCAGCAACAGCAAACACACCGAGATCCAAGGATCCGGATCGGAACAGAACCGCTCCTGCGGGAACTTTAAGGTCTCTGAGCATCAGCAGCACCGAAACACATTAAATCAGCCGGGCGGACAGGATGCTGCTGTAACTCGGAGCGCCGGCGCCGGCAGGACGGGACGGCAGAGTATCGACTGGGAGCTTCCAAACTGGGAAACCAGCGTGTCAACTTCCTGGATCCTATTCGCGTTTCCAGCTGAGCGGGTCTGGAACCAGAACCTCCCGATTCTTCAGGCTGGACTGAGTCAATGTTCTGAGCTCGACCAGAGAGATCGGTGCAGCTTCGTCAGGTCGAAGGTTTCCTGGTGCGAATGAGAGACGGGAATCTGCCACAGGTCTGAACTTCTCAGGACTTCGACTGGAGATGAGATGAAGCCCGGAGCGGGAGGATGTGACCGGCTCTGACTCTGCTGAAGTTCGGTTTGCTGGAGGCATCATGCTGGCCGCCGTCCTGCGGGGGGCGCAGTGGCCTGTGGTGGTTCTGATGGTGTGTGTGTGGGGCTGAGTGCGGTTCGGGGCGCCGCCTGCCCGCCCCGGTGCCTCTGCACGGCGGACATCCTGAGCTGCCTGGCGCTGGATCTGGACCGGGTTCCTGCAGCGCTGCCGGCTGCCGCCGCCATCTTGGACCTGAGCCACAACCGGATCCAGCAGCTGGAGCCGGGCGGCTTCCAGGGGCTGCTGCAGCTGGAAGTGCTGCGGTTGGCCAACAACCAGCTGATCGCCATCCAGCCCGGCGCCTTCAGGAACTCCTCCGGACGCCTGAGACACTTAGACTGTCATCCAATCAGCTGACGATGCTGAACCAGAGCAACTTCCAGGAGCTGGCGGCGCTGGAGGAGCTGCTTCTGTTCAACAACCGGATCCAGCATGTGGAAAGCACCGCGCTGTCCGGATTGACCGACCTCCGGAAGGCCTACCTCAGCCACAACCGCCTCACCGACTTCCCCTTCTTCAGCATCCAGACAGGCGGCCACCGGCAGCTGACCCTGCTGGACCTGTCCTCCAACCGGCTGCCCAAGCTGCCGCTAGCGGACATCTCCGGCCTGCCGCCGGCCCTGCAGGAGGCGCTCTATCTGCACAACAACTCGCTGGTGTGCGACTGCGACATGTTCGCCCTGTTCCAGCTGTGGGAGCAGAAAGGCTTCGCGTCGGTCCGGTTCTTCCGACAAGAGCACGTTTGCCAGGTTCCTGGAGTCCAGCGCAACGGCATCAGCTTTATCCTGCACCGGAGCTACTTCGAGTCCTGCAACGTGACAGCGGCGCCGCAACAGGAGGCCAGTGTGTCGGTGAGGGTGGGTGCGCCACTCCTGCTGCACTGCATCACGTCTTTGTCCGGCCGCGCCGCCGCCTTCTTCTGGCTCACGCCGCAGCTGGAGTACGTGGCTCCGCCTGGGAACAACGGGTCCATCAGGATGTTCGCCAACGGCAGCCTGGTGATGGCGGCGCCCCAAGAGCGGGACTCTGGGATCTACGTGTGCGTGGCGAAGGAAAGGCGACTGAACGACTCGCGGGAGGTCAACGTGACGGTGCTGCCGCGGCCGGCCACTGATGCCGCCGAGCCCTTCAACACGGGCTTCACCACCCTGCTGGGCTGTGTGGTCAGCCTGCTGCTGGTCCTGGTCTACCTGTACCTGACGCCCTGCCGCTGCCCGCCCCGCCCCGGGCCCCGCCCCCTGGCGGCCACCGCCCACAGCCAGGGCAAGGAGGGCGGGGCGGGCAGCGCCCAGTCCTCCATCCTCACACCGACGCCGCCGGCGTCCACCGAGGGCCCCGGCCGCAAGGTCAGTAGCAACAAGCATGTTGTGTTTCTGGAGCCGATCAGAGAGCAGCAGAACGGCCGGCTGGGGGCGGAGCCTCCGCAACGCGCCGGGGGGCGGAGCCTCCGCAGCGCGCCGGGGAGACGGACTCTTACATGTCCGTCTTCTCTGACACGCCCATCCTGTTGCCAGAGCGACAGGACTCCCAGAGAGACGGCACCGCCCCTCACCACTTCCTCCACGACACCTCCTCCCCTCACCAACTACAAGTGCAATTCTGACCCTGAATCCTGTTAGCTCAGGTCCGACCGCTGAGCCTAGAACCGGCACACTGTGACGGGTCAGAACCGGCCGAGTCCAGACCAAAGACAGAGCATGAACCGCTGCGTCCCTTTAAGCATGGCCTGTCCCTTTAACTGCAGCAACGCCTTCCAGTACCAAACTGTTTTCTAGAGTTCTGTAGCTTCCTGGTTCTGTTGACCAGACCGACATGTAGGGTCCAATTAACCAGAACCATCCAGAGATTCTGGTTCCCTCCTCCACTCTGCCTAGTTCTATGATCTCACTGCATCCTCTGCACCTTGTCTGTATCGCCTAATAAACCTCCAAACCCAACCTGCCTGGTTTCTGTCTGTGTGTGTGTGGTGTGTGTGTGTGTGTGTGTGTGCATGCGTGCGTGTGTGTGTGTGTGCTCGTGTGTGTGTGTGCGCGTGTGTGTGCCTGTGTGTGTGTGTGCGTGTGTGTGCATGCATCTGCGTGTGTGTGCGTGCGCGCGCGTGCGTGTGTGTGTGCATGCGTGCGTGCGTGTGTGTGTGTGCTCGCGTGTGTGTGTGTGCGCGTGTGTGTGCCTGTGTGTGTGTGTGTGTGTGTGTGCATGTGTGTGTGTGTGTGTGTGCGTGCGTGCATTTGTGTGTGCGTGCGTGCATGTGTGTGTGTGCGTGCATGTGTGCGTGCGTGCATGTGTGTGTGTGTGCGTGTGTGTGCCTGTGTGTGTGTGTGTGTGTGTGTGTGCTCGCGTGTGTGTGTGCGCGTGTGTGTGCCTGTGTGTGTGTGTGTGTGTGTGCATGCATCTGCGTGTGTGTGCGTGCGCGCGCGTGCGTGTGTGTGTGCATGCGTGCGTGCGTGTGTGTGCGCGTGTGTGTGCCTGTGTGTGTGTGTGTGTGCTCGCGTGTGTGTGTGTGCCTGTGTGTGTGTGTGCGTGTGTGTGCATGCATCTGCGTGTGTGTGCGTGCGCGCGCGTGCGTGTGTGTGTGCATGCGTGCGTGCGTGTGTGTGCTCGCGTGTGTGTGTGTGTGCGCGTGTGTGTGCCTGTGTGTGTGTGTGTGTGTGTGCATGTGTGTGTGTGTGTGTGCGTGCGTGCATTTGTGTGTGCGTGCGTGCATGTGTGTGTGTGCGTGCATGTGTGTGCGTGCGTGCATGTGTGTGTGTGCGTGTGTGTGTGTGTGCGTGCGTGCGCATGTGTGTGCGTGCGTGTGTGTGTGCATGTGTGTGTTCATGCGTGCGTGTGTGGGCGTGCGTGCGTGCATGTGTGTGCGTGCGTGCATGTGTGTGTGTGTGCGTGCGTGCATGTGTGTGTGTGTGTGTGCATGTGTGTGTGCGTGCGTGTGTGTGTGTGAGTGCGTGCATGTGTGTGTGTGCGTGCGTGTGTGTATGCGTGCGTGTGTGTGTGTGTGTGCACAGTCACATTCTGCATGTTCTGCCTGCAGCAGGTCTCTTCCTGCTCCCACACGATTCACAGGTTTCTCTTCCACGCCGTCAGGCTGCTCTGCTCTGCTGCTGGTTCTGCAGCTTTAAATCCTCTGTAAACTCAGAGTCCCATTAGATGGTGATGCTAATGAATAATTAACTGACTACATATTTAAATAATGGCAGTAGACCACAAGAACTTGAAACCAAAGTAAATCAGATGAATTATTTACGATAAACTTCAAATTGTCATTCTACATATTTGTGGGTTCATTGACTCAAATTTAAGACTAGCTGAAGCTAGCTAGCAGTGATAAGTTAGCAGCTTGAGAGCATTAGCCTCAGTCGCCTTGCGTCTCTTAACGCAACACGACGCCTCCAACCTCAGCCTGAAGGTCTGGTCCTGCCATTAGGACCAGTAGATTACAGTTTTAAAGTTGTAGTTTTGTCAACATTTATTACACTTATTCATCAGTTGTTGATGACGGACCATCCAAAATCACTCCAGGGGCTGTAAACGGCCCCTGCGCCTCACTTTGAACACCCATATTGTAGATGACCTCAGTGGGGTTTCAGGTCAGAAACGCCTGCAGGATCCAAACTCCCTCAGAGGTTTCATGATGAGGAAACATCTCAGCGGCTCTCAGGTCACAGCCCGACCCCTGACCTCTGACCCTGAGTGGGTCTTCATCTTCCTCCCGCCATGTTGTTCCCAGCTGAGCCGCAGACAGCAGGAAGCTCTTCAGTAAGATGGAGGGAAGCGAGTGGTGATGAAATATTGACGAGACGTTTCGGCTGGTAGCGAAAGCGGGAACATGGAGGTGGCGTTGCCGTGGCTTTAACTGATAGTTACTCAGAACCAAACGGAACCAGAACCTCTGAGCTCTACAGCCGGATCGGGTCACGATCCCACTGAACAGGAAGCACAAGCTAGAAAGAGCCCAGAAAGAGCTGGTGTAGCATCTACGGGGGTTGGACAATGAAACTGAAACACCTGGTTTAGACACAATAACTCATTGGTATGGTGTAGGGCCTCCTTTCGCGGCCAATACAGCATCAATTCATCTTGGGATTTTAAGCCATTCTTCTTGCAGGACAGTGGCCAGGTCACGACGTGATGCTGGTGGAGGAAAATGTTTCCTGACTCGCTCCTCCCCAAAGTGGCTCAATAATACTGAGATCTGGTGACTGTGGAGGCCATGGGAGATGTTCAACTTCACTGTCATGTTCATCAAACCAATCTTTCACCAGTCTTGCTGTGTATATTGGTGCATTGTCATCCTGATATACGGCACCACCTTCAGGATGCAATGTTTGAACCATTGGATGCACATGGTCCTCCAGAATGGTGCTGGCAGTGACGCGCCCATCCAGCACAAGTATGGGGCCAAAGGAATGCATTGATATGGCAGCCCAAAGCATCACTGATCCACCCCCATGCTTCACTCTGGGCTGCAACAGTCTGGGTGGTACGCTTCTTTGGGGCTTCTCCACACCGTAACTCTCCGGGATGTGGGGAAAACAGTAAAGGCAGACTCATCAGAGAACAATACATGTTTCACATTGTTCACAGCCCAATATTTTCGCTCCTTGCACCATTGAAACCGACGTTTGGCATTGGCACGAGTGACCAAAGGTTTGGCTATAGCAGCCCGGCCGTGTATATCGACCCTGTGGAGCTCCCGACGGACAGTTTTGGTGGAAACAGGAGAGTTGAGGTGCACATTTAATTCTGACGTGATTTGGGCACCGTGGTTTTATGTTTTTTGGATACAATCCGGGTTAGAACCCGAACATCCCTTTCAAACAGCTTCCTCTTGCGTCCACAGTTAATCCTGTTGGATGTGGTTCGTCCTTCTTGCTGACATTACCCTGGATACCGGGGCTCTTGACACATCACAAAGACCTGCTGTCTTGGTCACAGATGCGCCAGCAAGACGTGGACCAACAATTTGTCCTCTTTTGAACTCTGGTATGTCACCCATAATGTTGTGCTCTTACCCGGCTAATTGGACCTTCACACTCTGCTCTTACTGGTGCAATGAATGAAGATCGGCCACCAGGCTGGTCCATGTTAGCCATGAAACCTCCAACACTAACCTGAGAGGCGTTTCAGTTTCATTGACCAACCCCCTGTAAGTTCTCATGGCAACCCCGGCGGAGCGGATTGGTCGGGCCAGAAACCAGCAGCCAGAGGTCAAAGGTCAGCATTCAGAGGAGGACGAAGAGAAATCCAGCCAGGGAGACGGGACACTCTGAGCTCCAACATCTGACCAGAACCAGAACCATCCTGAGAGTCGGGAGGATCAGAACCGATCTGCTCTCCCCGACTGAAACACGCAGCATCAAAGATTGAAGAGCCGCCCTAAATCGTTCATCAGCTCCACAGACACCAGAACCAGTTCAACGGTTCCAGAACTCCCAACAGAACCAGTTCAACGGTTCAAGAACTCCCAACAGAACCAGTTCAACGGTTCCAGAACTCCCACCAGAACCAGTTCAATGGTTCCAGAACTCCCAACAGAACCAGTTCAATGGTTCCAGAACTCCACCAGAACCAGTTCAACGGTTCCAGAACTCCCACCAGAACCAGTTCAACGGTTCCAGAACTCCACCAGAACCAGTTCAACGGTTCCAGAACTCCACCAGAACCAGTTCAATGGTTCCAGAACTCCACCAGAACCAGTTCAACGGTTCCAGAACTCCCACCAGAACCAGTTCAACGGTTCCAGAACTCCACCAGAACCAGTTCAACGGTTCCAGAACTCCACCAGAACCAGTTCAATGGTTCCAGAACTCCACCAGAACCAGTTCAACGGTTCCAGAACTCCACCAGAACCAGTTCAACGGTTCCAGAACTCCCACCAGAACCAGTTCAACGGTTCCAGAACTCCACCAGAACCAGTTCAACGGTTCCAGAACTCCACCAGAACCAGTTCAATGGTTCCAGAACTCCCAACAGAACCAGTTCAATGGTTCCAGAACTCCCAACAGAACCAGTTCAATGGTTCCAGAACTCCACCAGAACCAGTTCAACGGTTCCAGAACTCCACCAGAACCAGTTCAATGGTTCCAGAACTCCCACCAGAACCAGTTCAACGGTTCCAGAACTCCACCAGAACCAGTTCAGTGGTTCCAGAACTCCACCAGAACCAGTTCAATGGTTCCAGAACTCCACCAGAACCAGTTCAATGGTTCCAGAACTCCCAACAGAACCAGTTCAATGGTTCCAGAACTCCACCAGAACCAGTTCAACGGTTCCAGAACTCCACCAGAACCAGTTCAATGGTTCCAGAACTCCCACCAGAACCAGTTCAATGGTTCCAGAACTCCCAACAGAACCAGTTCAATGGTTCCAGAACTCCACCAGAACCAGTTCAACGGTTCCAGAACTCCACCAGAACCAGTTCAATGGTTCCAGAACTCCCAACAGAACCAGTTCAACGGTTCCAGAACTCCACCAGAACCAGTTCAATGGTTCCAGAACTCCACCAGAACCAGTTCAATGGTTCCAGAACTCCACCAGAACCAGTTCAATGGTTCCAGAACTCCCACCAGAACCAGTTCAACGGTTCCAGAACTCCACCAGAACCAGTTCAATGGTTCCAGAACTCCACCAGAACCAGTTCAACGGTTCCAGAACTCCACCAGAACCAGTTCAATGGTTCCAGAACTCCACCAGAACCATTTCAATGGTTCCAGAACTCCCAACAGAACCAGTTCAACGGTTCCAGAACTCCCACCAGAACCAGTTCAATGGTTCCAGAACTCCACCAGAACCAGTTCAATGGTTCCAGAACTCCAACAGAACCAGTTCAATGGTTCCAGAACTCCCAACAGAACCAGTTCAATGGTTCCAGAACTCCCAACAGAACCAGTTCAACGGTTCCAGAACTCCCAACAGAACCAGTTCAATGGTTCCAGAACTCCACCAGAACCAGTTCAACGGTTCCAGAACTCCACCAGAACCAGTTCAATTGTTCCAGAACTCCACCAGAACCAGTTCAATGGTTCCAGAACTCCCAACAGAACCAGTTCAATGGTTCAAGAACTCCACCAGAACCAGTTCAATGGTTCCAGAACTCCACCAGAACCAGTTCAACGGTTCCAGAACTCCACCAGAACCAGTTCAATTGTTCCAGAACTCCACCAGAACCAGTTCAATGGTTCCAGAACTCCCAACAGAACCAGTTCAATGGTTCCAGAACTCCCAACAGAACCAGTTCAACGGTTCCAGAACTCCCAACAGAACCAGTTCAATGGTTCAAGAACTCCACCAGAACCAGTTCAACGGTTCCAGAACTCCACCAGAACCAGTTCAATTGTTCCAGAACTCCACCAGAACCAGTTCAATGGTTCCAGAACTCCCAACAGAACCAGTTCAATGGTTCAAGAACTCCACCAGAACCAGTTCAACGGTTCCAGAACTCCACCAGAACCAGTTCAATTGTTCCAGAACTCCACCAGAACCAGTTCAATGGTTCCAGAACTCCCAACAGAACCAGTTCAATGGTTCCAGAACTCCCAACAGAACCAGTTCAATGGTTCAAGAACTCCACCAGAACCAGTTCAACGGTTCCAGAACTCCACCAGAACCAGTTCAATGGTTCAAGAACTCCACCAGAACCAGTTCAACGGTTCCAGAACTCCCAACAGAACCAGTTCAATGGTTCCAGAACTCCCAACAGAACCAGTTCACCATCAGTTCATGGTTCCAGCTCGGTGCATGGTTCTGGTTCAGACCCATCTGACTCAGCAGTTCTGGAGGTGCAGACCTTTGCTTCAGATGTTGGACTGCAGAACCAGAACCATCAGAACCAGAACTGGACTCCAGCTGAAATGAACTGCATAAAGTTCTGCTAAAGCTAACGCTCTGTTCCTCTTCTCCTCTTCATCCTCCTCCTCTTCCTCAGATCTATCCGTCTCTCCCCTCCTCCCTCCATCAGTAGCCCTTCATCCTCCTCATCCTCATCCTCCTCCTGACAGGAAGCTGGGAGGCTTTCGTCAACATGCATGAGGAAAGCAGAAGAAGAAGTCTTCATCACAGTCGTCTTCATCACAGTCGTCTTCATCACAGTCGTCTTCATCAGTCGTTCATCACAGTTTGCATGAAAGCAGCAGCTGTCACAGAGTCAGAGCACAGGGGATTGTGGGTAATCTGAAGGCTAGAGCACTGCATGCTGGGAAACGAGGTGACGCCTCCTCATAAACGTCACGATGAAGGAAAGACGAGCGGCTCAGATTATTTCAGGTTCTGGTTGTATGTGGTCACGTGACTGCGTCGTCATGACAACAACTCTGATCCCACGGTCTGACGTTTCACTGCAAAAATGAAAAATCTTACCAAGTATTTCTGTAGTTTCTAGTGCAAATATCTTAGTGCGCTTGAATTAATAAAGATCAACTTATAGCTGCTTGATTTAAGTTGATAATTCTGTATTTTATAACCTAGTAGATTTATTTCAACTTTAACAAAACATCTTGTCTTCTATTTTTTTACGTATTTTGAGAAGCTTTTTTGCAGTTAAATTCTGCCAATTCAAACTTACAAGATTATTCCTAATTTCAACATTATCTATGTGGTTTTAAAGGGATTTATTCAAGTATAGTAATGTCACGCTCTGCAAAACAAACTTTCACCAGGTACTTTTTGTCTAGTTGGAACAAAAATATCTTAGTAAACATAAAATAAGAAACCTAACAAACAAGTAACAAGTAAGATATCAATGTTTGCTACTCGTGACATCGATCGCAGAAGATAAGCAGACAGAAAGTTGAGGCAGCAGCGGAGCAGAAGAGGGAAACGCCGCCACCTGCAGGTGGGAGTCAGCATCACGCAATCCAAAGCTTTTGGGTGGAAAATTTTATAAACTCCAAATTAGCGTGAAAAATGTGCAGATCTGTTGATCTTGTGCAAATTTTCGTCATTCCCACAAAGAGACTTGCAGCCAAGCTGAGGACTGAAAACTCACTGTGGGATGGAATCGATCCTGGAGAAGTTGCTAGCATCAGTTCAGTGGAACGACCAAACTAATTTGGATGACTGGGAACTGAGATGGATCGGAGAGACTATCAAGGAGACTGAAATTTATAATCTACCCGACCTAAAACATTCTATATCTGAATGCTACACATTTCTAAATCCCTTGAAGATCTGTAAACATAACATTCCTTCTCACCTCCTGTTATTCATGCAGCTGTGGAGCTGAGCGCTCCAAGGACATGCCTCGATAACGACATCATATCGGACTGCAGCCGGGAGGCTGAGCAACGTGGTTTCATGGCCCTGTGATGTCACCGCCTTCACTCATCTTTGCTCTGCCCTTTGGTTTATGTGAATGTTGCCATGTGCCCTAATGTGTCATTCCTCTTTTTGTTTCATTAAACTGTAGAGTTCTCACTATTTTACCAATATTAGATTATTCAGAGACTCCTTTTATTGCAACCCAGAAAAGGAATTAGAACAAACTTAGAAACTGTTTAGTACCATTACTTTTACAAATTTAGAGCATACTTAGAAAGTCCAGAGAATATTTACACATCTATCATCCTAGAAGTCCAGAGGACTTACTAACTTAACTGATTTAGCAACCCAGAAAAGGATTAGAACTTTGAATCCAGAAAACGACCTTAGCACCTATTTTTAGAGTCTTATTCTCCCAACCCAGAAAAGGAAGTAGACCAGAGGACACTTACTTATATTATCTACCGACCCTGAATAGGAGTATCCAGTTTATTTACTTTGGATCAACATTATTAGCTTTCGCTTCTTTTTGCTCTTTCGTTTGTATTTCCTTTTAAATCTTGTGAAGCACTTTGTCTTGTTGCTGAAAATGTGCTATATAAATAAAATGACCTTTACAGTTTTGCAGAGTCATCATGAAACAGTGGATGCACTGATTTATCAGAACACACCGGTTCTGCTGAAACAGAACTGGGTCCAGACTGCAGAATAAACCTGCAGGTAAAACTCAGGACTGAATTCAGCTGATCTGCAGACCTCAGCAGCAGACTGGCGTTCCCCAGCGGGCTGGGTCTACGTCCTGGAAAACTACGGCGCTGTGATGGAAAAAGCCAGCAGGCTGCGCGCGGCGGTCTCTGATTCTGTGAAGCTGCTAAGCTAATTACCCTGGAGCTGAATCTAATCTGAGGCAGGCTGAGAGCTGAGAGCTGCCTCTCCGAGCCGCAGCTGATGGATCATAATGAGCTCCATCGATCTGTCTCACAGCGGGGGGCGGGGCCTACTGGACCCGATGAGGCTCAGTTGGACTGATGAAGACAATCTCAGGAGCAAACTCACCTGGGGCGAAGCCCGAGGAAGAGGAAGCTGGACTGAGGTCAGAAATAACATTTAAATCCAAGCCTTCCCTTCCTTCCTGCCGGTTCGACCCTGAGGTTCTGGTGAGAGGTGGACTGGTCCCAGTGGTTTGAACTCTGACCTCGAGCTGCATGTCAGCAACCTGATGCAACCTGCCGGGTTTCCTCAGATAGAAACGTTTAACGAGCCTGAGCTCGATGCGTTGGTTGAACCGAGTTTAACTGAAGCGAGTTTTAGGGTCAGAGTCCGGCGGCATGTGGTCTGGCTGCAACTCGACTGGTAGAGATACGTAGAAAATGTATTTATTTCTAGCAAAAATATGGATTATTAAATATCTCTCACAAGTTGGATCAAAACAAATGTGGACTTTATCTGATGTTTCAAGTTTAAAAATCACCTTACAAAATTTTCTGCACATTTGACAAATAAAAGGTCTCCACTAAACTTTTATAGGTTCCCAACATAATCTGAACAATCCCAACATGAATACGAATGACAGGTTTTGGTACTAAAGTAACTGAAGTATGTTCTAAATGCCCAGAGAAAAACTAAATGGATACATTGTATGATTTATAAAAGATGAAACAGAAATGGCCACAACACGATTAATCAGATTCATCTGAAGATGTTTTGTCTGAATGAACCTTCAGCTGATCAATAACCAGTTAGTGATCAGTTTGAGTAAAACAGAGTCAACGTGCTTTTTGATTAGAAAACACATACAAGAGCATTTTCTAATTCATCTGCAGAATTAAATTATCAACATGGAGCAGAATTAAAATATTTTGTTATTCTTTGACCACAGCTAAAATTTGAGAATCACATTAATAACATTTCTAAAAGCATAAAAACCAAACCCTAATTGTTTGAAATGAGTCCTGTGCAGGTGCTCTGCGGCGGATGAATGCCATGATATTCTCTCATATTTCATATTTATTTCATTTTGAATGACAGCATGATCCCATTAAACGCCTCATGGTTCAACCAAACAACAAAAATAATGGACAAAAAGCCATTTTGTCCATTATTTTGTCCAAAAAGTCTCATCCCCTCTAATCAGGGGCAAACAAAATCGAATGGATTTTGAAATTTGTTGTAATTTCTGTTTTCTTAAATGAATGTTATCGATTACCTCTTGATGCGTTAAGTTCATTTGTAGAAACATAAAACAGATTCAGTCACTAGAGGATCTCTGAACTACGTAAAGTCGTCTGGTCAACTTCTTCATATTTCATAAAACGTATTGCTCCTGCGTGTAAAAAATGTAAAACTTGAAACATTTTTCCTGTGATGAAATCTTGGCTTGAGGAAAACCAAAGATGTGATCATTCAGAAAGTTTGTGTATCTGTGAGTTAGTATTATATTTATAATATTTAGTGCATTAGTAAACCTAATTTCTGGGTCTGACCCTTTAGCAGGACTAGCTGAGCACCAAGTTAGCCCTGCTAAAGATTCGCCCAGCCAGGGTCAGAGTTCACGATGAATAAAAAATGATAAAGGCTGGACAGACAGAAGCTCCAGGACCCAGAGAGGAGGCGTTGCTCCCTGACCTTCAGGGAACCAGACCGCCTCCAAACACTCGGGCTCTTTAAAGGAGCAGTCTGACATTTAGAGAAGCACTCAGAGTGAAGCGGCTCTGCAGGCTGACAGGACCAACAGTGAGTCAGAGCCGACAGACGTCAGCAGAGGCCTGCTGCCCACCTGTCTGCATGGACAAATGCAAAAAACACAAGACGTCCAAAATGCATCCAAAACAAAACTCCAGTCATGTTTCAGTTTGTTTCAATATGGCCGCTCCTCTCATGTGATGGAAACGTTTATTCCAGAAACTTTCTGGACTCCATGTCACGCAAGGCGAAGCTAAACAAATTAAATTAGTGCTTTTGGAAAGTAAAGATTTAAAGGGGCAGTACAATGTTTTCCAGGCACATGGTGCCATTTTATAACAGAATCCAGTAACCGTGTTACCTTCAGTCCATATAAAAAAATAACTTCCTGATCTAAATAGAAATCGGGCCTCTGTCTCTTTAAAAACTCCCGGTCCTTCTGAAGCTCCGCCTCCAGGAAATCATCCCAACACGGCTCCTCCACTAACCCTTGAACAATTTTACCTCTGAGGAGGAGCTGCGCCTCGAAGGCGGGGCTAAGCCCACCCTGGTGTTCTGCAGCTGGACGGTTGCCATGGATTAAAGGACAATGCACAAAACAATTGAAGCAACTGCAGCTTTGTTTTGATGGAGGGAATCAGATCAAAAGAAAAGCTCCAAGCCGGTCTGACGGTGAACCCAGACAGCAGTTAGAATCTAGAAAAACAGTCAGCTGAAGGCGGCGCCCCTATGGTTCCCTCTGCCCCCACCCAGTCCACCCAGTTCTCCAGTTCACCCAGTTCACCCAGTTCTCCCAGTTCATCCAGTTCTCCCAGTCCACCCAGTTCTCCCAGTTCACCCAGTTCTCCCAGTTCTCCCAGTTCACCCAGTTCACCCAGTTCACCCAGTTCATCCAGTTCTCCCAGTCCACCCAGTTCACCCAGTTCTCCCAGTTCTCCCAGTTCTCCCAGTTCATCCAGTCCACCCAGTCCACCCAGTTCACCCAGTTCTCCCAGTTCACCCAGTTCTCCCAGTTCACCCAGTTCTCCCAGTTCTCCCAGTTCTCCCAGTTCTCCTAGTTCTCCCAGTCCACCCAGTTCACCCAGTTCTCCCAGTTCTCCCAGTTCACCCAGTTCTCCCAGTCCACCCAGTTCACCCAGTTCTCCCAGTTCACCCAGTTCACCCAGTTCTCCCAGTTCACCCAGTTCTCCCAG